CGTCCCCATTCTTTTTTGGAACTATGAAAAATATTGAATAAAGTCCCGTGGCCCTGACGTCCCCATTCTTTTTTGGAACGATGAAAAATATTGAATAAAGTCCCGCATTTTTCTGATGATCCAGTACCCTTTCTATAGCACCAATGTCCAGTAGCTTCTAAGGTAGTGTGTTTCTCCCGTGACTGGTTCCTTGGGAACTTCACAAGATGGTCTGGTGGCCTGGTGGAAACTTCTAAAGAGTACCCTTCTGTAACTGTCTCTGCAACCCATTTGTCGCTTACTGTTGTCTGCCAGTGAAGCGCGAAATTCTGTAATTCTGTAATCTATGCCCGATTTGTTTGCCTTGCCATAGCCATGCTGAGGCCGGTAGTGGCAGACCTGTTTGTGTAGAAGCTAGTTTGGGCATTAATTTTCCTGAACCTATTTGAAATTCTGGGTCAGGTGCCTCTTCCTCCTTAGACTTTGGGGATATCTCTATAAACGTGAGTATAGCTCCTGAGGAAAGAGCCTAGACTGAACAGTTTGGACCTGCTCTTCCTCTGACAACCCCCCTCCCTCTTTATCTGCGGATGCAGGTGTAGAATCAGAATTGCCTTCCACTGTGTCCAGGAATGGACTATGGTCTCGCCTTTGATGTTTCCTATATTTGAGTCTTTTGGGATTAGGAGATGAACAGGATTCGCTATCTGAGTCCTCTCTAAGAGCCCTATTTTTCTTCAGCGCTCTACCTCTGGGTGTAAGGGCCTCTCTATTCCCTGCTTTGCTTAAACTCTTTCAGCATTTCTCTAAATTCCTTCCTCACCTCTGACTTCACCCATCTTAAAAGATCTGACTTGGATTCCTCCCCTGACATCTCCACTTCCTGAGATTCCAAAGTCTCTTGAGTGGATAACGCAACTGAGCACCTATGTAGCTCAAAGTCATTAAGGGAGTTCCCTCTGGATCGGGAGCTAGCTGCTCCTTTATTGCCTGCCATTTTGTGCTCTAGGGCAAAGTAAAAGAGAAACAAATAAGGAAGGGGGAAAGACAAAATGGCCGCCACCAGTTTCTTTCCCCCTCATTCATCTGAGTATGACTCAGCAAGTTCCCCCTGGCCCTTACTGCAGCCCTAGGCCAAGCCTTACTCATCTACCCAGGCCTGACCCTGTGCCCAGACTGAATAAATCAGCTTTTTGGAAAGTCCAGGGGAGTAAAAAGAGTCAAACTGAAGGGGGGGATGTCTGAACAATCAGTCATCTCCCAGGGCCCACACTTCCCCTTCCTCACTCAGCTCCAGGGACTCCTTGTCCTCCAACGCTTCCCCTCTCCTCTCCCGGGGTCCTACTGAGGTTCAGAGGAAGCAGGTCCCGGCTTGAGCTCTTCTGCTCACCTCTCGCCGGGTCCTCACGCACGGGAGGACTGCCAGCTCCGCGACGTCAACCCATGCATCTCCGCAGCCTCTACCGCTCCCTGGGGTTCGAAGACAGAACAGTAAGAACCAGCGCCCAGGGGCCAGTCCCTGCAGGAGGCTACAGGCTAGCCGCGGCTACCAGGGGTTCCCCAGTGCCGGTGGCTCTCAACTGCCACTGACTGCGGTTCGCTTTCTTTCCTGGCCCTGGGGAGCACTCCCGGATCTGGCCGAAAGCCTTTTTTTTTTTTTTTGTATAATACTTTTTATTAGGTTTTCATGTCTAAATACATATTAAAAGCTAACAACAAAGCTTCAAAAAGATTTGTAACAATAGTAAAAACAAGTAAGCAACAGTTTACGACATGAATTGAGTGATTTCCAGGTATGCATTCATTTTTAATTTTTAGGTGGTAAAATTACATAGTGATATTAATAGCTATATTGTAGATGATGACCCAACAGGATTTATCTGTTCTTTACCTTTGAAATTAAGTGACCCACATTACCAAAGCCACAAGGCATCCATCACTGGAGGGACGTCCTGTTGATTGGATAGGTAATTCAGGATGGGGAGCCAGATTGCAGTAAAATTGGTGCAAGTGGGACATTTATCAAAACACGTAAGATTATCCGAGAGTTTAGCCATTATAGATAAATCCCACAGCTTTTTATGCCATTGAGAAAGAGTGGGTAACCTTGTCGTCTTCCAATGTGAGGCAATGACAGTCTTAGCTGCAAATAGCATTATTGAGATTTCATTCAGTGATAGAGGAACTAACATCGTCCGTAGCTCAACTGTTCAAAACTATATGTTCAGGTGAAGGGGCAATGTCTATATCACCAAATGACTTGATCTGCTCTATTACTTCTTTCCAGAAGGGGAGAATTTTGGGACAGAATATCCAACAGGGTGCATAATCTCCTAAGATATCACATTTCTTCCAACATTTTGGGTTGTATGATGGGTTCATGCGGGCTAGCTTGCAAGGAGTGAGGTACCAGTGCGATAATATTTTGAATGACTGTAGCTTCATAGATGTCATTCTAGAGAAATAATGAAGACGTTCAGTGGAAGCTACAAGCCTTGTGTCCCAGGCTGGAAGAGAAAAACTAGACTGAGGGGGGAGGGAATAGGGAGAAAATGTTAAAACCACCTAAAAGGATTAATGAATGTACAAAGTAAATAACAAATAAAAATATTTAATTAAAAAAAATAAAAAATAAAAAAAAGATGTCATTCTGGAGTGGAATGGGGGAGATGTCCATATGCGATTCCATGTATCCTCTGAGAGAGTAATGCTACATGGCTTATGCCACATTGCTTGGTAAGATAGTGTTTCTGCATCCCTCAAGAGCGATTAGTACTTTATGTACCTGAGATAGCAAACCTTTTCTTGAGATGCTAGCCATAGCGATGATCGTCTCAAATGCTGTGAGTGGGTTTTGCAGTATGGATTCAAGTTGGAATTTGTTTACACCTATGAGAAATTTGAGAGTCCTGTAGCCAGGGGATAGACCCTTTTATTTTGTCCTCTAGGGCTACCTTGGAGTGAAGTAGTGTTTATGAAGTGAGATCCTGGAGAGCAGGGATATTTGCCATTTCCCATTGCATATATGCCGGGTTGTTTGTACCCGGGAGGAACCAATTTTGGTTTAGGAATGTCTGATATCGGGATATAGGAGGCAACAATACCGATCTCATCCAATCCCATGTAGTCAGCATTGCTGAGAGCAGAGGGCTGGAGTGAACTGGCCGAAAGCCTTTGATCTTCAGTCTTCTTCTTTTTTCTTTGGATCAGTGCACTCTTGGAGCACCGAGGAGACACATCCTGCACTTTAGGCAGGGACGGTAAAACTGAAAGTGGAGCTAGGGGAAAGCCGCCCCCGTCCCCGGCTGGATCAGATCTGAGAGACCGACCCTGCAGAAGGAGGAGCCTAATCCCAAATGTGAGGGATGTCCCTCTCCTTAGGACCACCGGAGAAAAGGAGAAGACCACATGGCAGGTCCATCCCAGTGAGATAGGCAACTGCAGCATCCAAGACAAAGGGCAGAATGAAGAGAGCCTAATCCCAAATGTGAGGGATGTCCCTCTCCTTAGGACCACCGGAGAAAAGGAGAAGACCACATGGCAGGTCCATCCCAGTGAGATAGGCAACTGCAGCATCCAAGACAAAGGGCAGAATGAAGAACCAGAAACAGCTGCTCCTTTGTCCACGTATCTTGTGACTATGTAGGTAACAGACTACTTAAATAAAACTGTATGGTTATTCAGACTGGAGGGCCAAATCAACACACACATTTATAGTACATAGTACAGAATTCCTAACGCAGCAGTTGGGGGAAATCACATGTTTGAATGTGCCTCTGGAGAATGTGCCTCTACACAAACATGCTCCCTAGCATGCCAGGGCCTAGGGCCTTTCCCTGATGTGTTTGTAGCCCATGTATCCTTCATCTCACAAGCTGCAAGTAGATAAATAGGTACCACTTCAGTGGGAAGGGAACAGCGTTCCGTGCGCCTTGGTGTTTAGTCATGCCGGCCACATGACCATGGAAACGTCTTCGGACAGCGCTGGCTCTTCGGCTTTGAAACGGAGATGAGCACCGCAACCCTAGAGTTGGACTCGACTGGCTTTCGAGCAAGGGAACCTTTACCTTTACAGAATTCCTAATGCAGCAGTTGGGGAAAATCACATGTTTGAATGTGCCTCTAGAGAATGTGCCTCTACACAAACATGCTCCCTAGCATGCCAGGGCCTAGGGCCTTTCCCTGATGTGTTTGTAGCCCATGTATCCTTCATCTCACAAGCACGTTTCTCCTACCTGCTGCAGTGCAGAATGGAACGATCATCCCAAGAATTATCTACCTTGCAAATATGGATGCCTCAGAATTCCCCAGCAACCTCATGGATGTACAAGTGACCAAATCATGTGTCCTGAAGTATCCAAAGTTACTGTACACAGATAAACGACCCCTACCCCTCTCTCTCCCACACACACACCACTTTATCTGCCTTTTTGTACCATCAAGGTAGTAAAAAAAAGAGGAGATCCATTTTGTAGGAATAAGTCATTCTTCAGAAAACATGGAAGCTTCCGGCTTCCTCCTTAATAACAGGGACCGTGTTTAGCATTACTATAAGGCACACGTAAGGGCTCCAGCACAAAAAGACATCACAACTCTATTCTTGGATGTGAAGAAAAAAAGCAGAAGGAACACGAAAAACAGTTCATTTGAGCCTATTTATATGCTCAGTTCCCTTGAATAAATAAAAACACTTGCAAAGCAGCCGGGGCCATCAAAGGTGCCCATGAAACAGTATTTGTTCCAGCAAAACTTCATCGCTTTGAGACAGACAGGAGACAGCGAAGTATTTTAGCACACTTAACGCGGCTATTAATCAAATGTCAAAGCCCTTTCCTTAAAAAAACACATTTCCCCCTAGAGGGACAGAAATGTTTCTCTCCATATTTAAAGCACAGCAGCAGCCACATCTTGATTAGCACTACCATTCTGCAGAGGGGCAGTTAACTGCATTGATAACGGATGCATTCTGGCATCTCTACCGCTGCCGTGAACAGAGGGAACAGCCCTGCATGAGACGATACCTTTCACATCTGGCCGATACTGCAGGCCTTCATCTTTCTTCCCCAATGAGCCTGTGTCATCGGATTCTATGTGAGGGAAAACATAAAAGAGGACCACAGATTTTCAGGTTACTGCCTCGTTAGAACAGATTGTTACCTGGGGAAACAGCTAAATGGCAGCAAGACCGTGACACACGCAGTATTTCTCTCACACGGCTAAGAAAATGATATTGTCCAAGACCACCTTTGGGGTCTGTTTCATCTGTGGATGCAGTTCAGCATTCTGAGTTAGAGAGGAGGCTGAAAGGCCCACAGCCTTTGAACTCCCCAGGTGCAGTGTGTCAAAGCCTGATCCACATTTAATCACAGCAACAGCAACGTCAGGCCCAAACTCAGCTAATGCTCACAGCACTGGGGGTGTGAGGCTAGGAGAATAACTCCATTCCCCTCATTATCCCGGAGTTTAATCATATTCCATCGCATCTCTCAGTTGTAGAAATGACCCTAAGGTCAGAATCATCATGCTCTACAATTATGTACAAGGACAGAATAACTAGAGACACACACCTGCCAAGATTGGGGGTGGGGGGGTAGCCGTGTTAGTCTGAAGCAACAGAACAAAGTTTGACTCCAGGGGCACCTTTAAGGCCAACAAAGTTTAATTCTGGGTATGAGCTTGGTGTGTGGGCATGCACACAAAAGCTTATATCCAGAATTGAACTTTGTTGGTCTTAAAGGTGCCAGTGGACTCACACACAAACTAAGTTTCTAGCTCCTATGGAGGCAGAAATAAGACTGGGTCCTAAAAAGCTTGACATTCTGGCTGCTCTCCCCCTCCCACATTTCCACTTCACCACTACCTGGTCCTTTTTAACTGGAGAGGCCAGAAATCAAACCTGGGATCCCTCTGCATGCAAATCACAGGCTCTACCCCTGAACCATGGTGCCTCCTCAAACATTCCATGCCATCAAAATGTTAACTGTTCCCACTCTTTTGCATACTTTGAACAAAGGTGGTCTTGGTGGTTCTGGGGCAACACAAACACAGCACTATTTCTGTCTCTAAAATTAAAAAGAAACAGTGACCTCCCTTCCTTTCTTTGCTAGCAGGTGTGATTCTCTAGAGGAAACTAAAAGCAGAAGTACCTGAGCAATGTCCAAGGTGTCTGATATCGATCTGTTCCTGTCTCAGACAAGACGCTTCTCGAACAAAGCAGGGGTTGTTGTAGGAACTTCCGTCAGATGCACAGACAGGGTTAAAACTGTACCCGCTACAGTCTATGTTGCATACACACCTGGAAGCACAAATGTGTTTAGAGATCAGGATCACTCCATTCAGCATGGCACCCGAAAGAAAACCATACCTCTTATTAAAATAAATACACCCGTATTTAAAATAGTGTGGGCAAGTGTAGCAATCTAAAATGAGAATGTGATTGAAGGTTAAATCCTTTACTGAGATAATTGGGGGAGAACCCTTCCTTCTTTCTTTCCTTCCTCCCTCCCCTTCCCTCCCCCCTTCCTTTCCTTCCTTTCCTTCCCTTCCTTCATCCCCTTCCTTTCCTTCCTTCCTTCCTTTCCTTCCTTCCTTGCCTTCCCTTCCTTCCTTCCCTCCCTCCCCTCCCTTCCTTTCCTTCCTCCCCTTCCTTCCTTCCTTCCTTCCTCCCTCCCCTTCCTTTCCTTCCTTTCCTTCCCTTCCTTCATCCCCTTCCTTTCCTTCCTTCCTTCCTTCCTTTCCTTCCTTCCTTCCTTCCCTCCCCTTCCTTCCCTTCCTTCCTTCCTTCCTTCCTTCCTTCCTTCCTTCCTTCCTTCCTTCCTTCCTTCCGTTCCTTCTTTCCTTCCCTTCCTTCCTTCCAGTTGGGCATTCGGTGTGCACACACATATACACACCAATGGACACCAGTTTAGCTGGGATCCCACAGAAAATCTCAACTAAAAGAAGGGACTTCCATCTGCTTCCTCACTCCTAAATGAGGCCCAAACAGGCACGATGACAGCATGAGAGGTGAGCTGGAAGTCCGCAGTGGAAGTTGGGATTAACGAAGATCATCCCCCTTCTATCTCTGGGAATTTTCGACTGGAACCAACCCATTGCTGGCCATGATGGGAAGTCCAGATATCCTTTCTCCCCATTTGGGCGAGTGTGTTTATTTTACATCCAGCCTCAGAAAGAATTCTAGTGAACAAGGAACAAAGCTCAATGCTTTGTGATGCTTCAGGTGGCCCTTGTTGCGAAGAGACTAATATGACAACCCGTGAAAGATAAATGCCCACCTCCTGTGATCCAAAGGTTTGAAGATGTTACAACTCTGCCAGCATTTGAAGAGACAACAATGGTGCATGGTTACATTTTAGATATCTGGAAACCTTTTATAGATGCTTAACTATAGACTTGCTTGTTATCTTTTGTTGTATTTTTTTTCCTGTCTGGTGTAAATAAAATAAATGAAAACATTCCTAAAACTGTTTCAGTCGAGCCGAATAACAAGAGCACCCCTAGTCTCAGGGGACAACGCAGCTTCCTGGAAATTCAGACAGAAAGGTGGACCCACAAGCCTGCAGCTCAGAGGTCACTCACTGCGCACACCAGCTACATGGCACAGCCTCTCGTGCCCGTGCCCAAGACGCCTACGCAGTGAAGACCCTCAACGGGAATTGGGCGGGGGGATTTTTAAGAATCTACATGTTAGGTTATGTTGGTATGAATCCCTTCCTATAAATCAGGACCGTGTTGTTCAGTTTTGTTTTTTTCTGGTAAAAAAACCAACCCAGTAAAATTGAGTTGATGTCAACAAAACAGTCATTCACGCTTCCAAAGTCCTTATGACAGCACTGTAATTATGCTGCTCTGGAAAAAAGAAAAGAGGATTATGCAATCTGGATGGCTGGACGACCATCTTTCGGGTATGTTGTAAGTATGTAGGGCTGTCCTTCAGCGATGTTCCTGCAGAGTGCAGGGGGTTGGACGAGATGGCACAGCACTGGGGAATCCTGGTGCAGAGGAGCTTGCTAAAGACAAAGGGGAAAGGACCTGATGCTACGAAACGGGGGGCTAAACTGCGGTGGACGGCGGAAGAGGCATTCGACCGTCTCAAGGCTCTTTTAACTTCTGAGCCTGTGCTGGCCCATCCTGATGAAAATAAGAAATTTGTGGTCCAGGTGGACGCGTCAGATGTCGCTATGGGGGGGGGCATCCTCCAGGAGGGGGAGGATGGACACCTCCCACCCCCTCGCCTATGTGTCCTGCAAGTTTAATGACACTGAGCGCAATTGGTCGGTGTGGGACAAGGAAGCTGGCGCCATCCGGTTAGCCTTATTTACGTGGCGCCATTGGTTGGAGGGGGCGAGGGTCCCGTTCGAAGTGTGGATGGACCATAAAAACATAGAGGTACTGCGAGTGCCCAGAAACCTGAACGCTAAACAACTGCGGTAGGCTGATTTTTTCTCTAAGTTCCAATTCACCCACCACCATTTCCCGGGGAAATCTAATTCCTTGGCTGACGCATTGTCCGGCCTCCCGCAACATGACAGCCAGAGGGAGGAGGCACTGGACTCGATGTTCACACCCTCCGAGCTGGGAGGAGCAGTCACTACGCGCAGTCAAAGCCGCCCTCCCCCCCTCCTAATGACGCCTCACCTTGGGTGAGCAAATTCGTTTCCGCCTTCAATGACGGAATTCGTTTCTGCCTTCAATTGCCAGCTCCATGTTGGAAAATTCCTGGAGATTTGGGGGTGGAGCCTTGGGAGAGTGAGATTTGAGCTTGGAAGTGACCTCAGTAGGGTATCTATATATCTAATTCTCAACAGTCCCCTCTGTGTGGATACTTACTTCCATTGATAGGGGGCACACGCTTCCCCAAAAGGGTTTTCTACAAACTCAGAGGACTCTGTGGGTCTGCAGAAAAATCCAATTTTTTTTAAAGATTGGGAGGGTTGAATCCCCCCCAATACCTTTTGAGATGGCCGCCGCAGGGTTCTACTCCAGGTCCCGCCACATCGACAGTGAGAGAGTGGCTGATAGCCAGAGAGACAAAGGCAGAGAGAGATGATGAGTGGGGGAAGAGGGGAAAGCAAAAGCAGAACCGGAGCTGGGATTGGGGAGGATTCCTCCTGCAGTATGAATGGCTAAATAGCGGGGGACTGGAGCCAGGCCTGGGACTAGGATTGCCCACTCCAGGTTGGGAAATTCCTGGAGATTCTCTGTTGAAGTCTGAGGACTGCAGAGTTTGGGAAGGAGAGAGACTTCAGCTGAATATAATACCACAGAGTCCACCCATTTTCTCCAGGGGGGGTAGATCTCTGGAGTTCAGTTGTAATTCTAGGGGATCTCTAGGTCCCACCTGGAGGCTGGCAAACCTAGGCCGAGCAGCACCTTCTGGGTGACTTGATACTACCTGACTTGCATGATTCGACTAGGCCTGTTCAACAGCAGCCACCCTATGAAAGTCAGGATAGTATAATGGTCAGAGCTTCAGAACAGGGTTTGCGAGACTCAGATTTAGATCCTCATCTTGCTGTGGAAGCTCACTGGGTGATTTTGGACGAGACACCTACTTTCAGCCTAACCTACCTCATAGATTAATTCTCCTGGAATTCTCCAGATGACAGAGATTAGTTCCCATGGAGAAAATGGCTGCTTTGATGGCAAAAGAGGATGGCAAAAACTGGCCTGGAGAACAATTGCTGCCTGACCCCCAAAGTGGTGATCGGCATTTCCCTGGGTGTGTAAGAAAGGTACACAAGAACTAAGCACTGATGCAACCCTTCCTGCCCTCCCCTCCATGATCTGCCTAAGTTCACAAAATCAACATTGATGCAAAGCCCTCCCCCCTCCCATTACAAGTCTTACATGTGCTTCAAAACCACAACATATAAAACAATACACATGTTACATCAATACAGGATCGATTACCTCCCCAAATAATGAGAGTTTTTGTTTTTAATCTATCAAACAAGCTATAACTAAAAAAACACAAAATCTAAATATTTCTTAGGTATTGAGGAGTTCTGGCAGGTGGTTTGATTCATATACTCAAAAAAAGTATACCATGTCTCTATATACATATTTTTCCTATTAGGATTCTCAACTTGTATTAATTGTGAGACTACCTTATTCTGGACCATCAAGTCCCCTTTTTTATCATACCC